GAACGTACTGATTGCATTGCGAGCGAAACGGCGGGTTTGAGCGAGGGAGCAGGAAAGACGATGACGCAGAGTAGCTTCGAGTTTAACACCAGCAGCGCGAGACAAGGTGCCTCCTGTATTTTACCAAATATGAATCAAACAAACGAAAGCGCATCACCAATTGTATGTGCATGCATTTATGTATGTACGTTTCTATGCGTATATTACATATCGATCCCACCATCCCTCTGGGCGTGAGTGGTTTAGAGCGGTGTCTCTTCCAACTCCCCGTCTTCCCCTTCAGGGTGGGGCTCATCACTGGTCCCTATGTATCAAGACCCCCTCCCCCAGGTGACGGGCAGCCAACCAGGAACAATGACTCCCCACGCCATCTCTGCCAAACAACAATACAAGATACACTTTGGGGGAACATCTGGGATCAGAATCGAAGGCCCCGCGGGCATTATGGAGAGCTTTTCTTGACAGGGACGGGGAGGGGCTCATGTTGCCTGCTGAACGCACGGCCACCACCCCCGTCAAAAACAATACAACATGCAATTCGCAGCTACATGTGGATCATACGCGGCCACCCCGCAATCACTGCCCATTAGTTTTTGACGAGGACGGCGGGGGTGCTGGCATAGTGCTTGCTGTGCGCAGGCCACGCCGACACCATGATGGCCTTCCTGCTGTGATCGTGCATTGGTTTTCGACGGGGTGGCTGGGGGACGACATGTTTCCCGATGTGTGCTGTTACTTGCGCGGGCGCACCTGGCACACTCTGTGCGTGCCCCGAACGCGCCAGGCGTGCCTGGCACGCGTGGCGCAACTAGAACCAACGTCGCTTCGCATTCGGGCTGTGTTGGTTTCCGGTAGCTGTCCATCCATAAACGACCGCTGAATATGCTGAGGCTCGGGTGCTACGTATGTGATGGTAGGGCGGGTGGGAGCGAGACAGCTCGCGGGCGGGGAGGGTGTCTTGATCACTGTTCCGTATTAATATGACACCCCCTCCCCCACCCGGCCGGCAGCAAACCCGGAACAGTGAGAGCCCCATGAGGCCCCCCCCACACCATGCATCCCTGTCAATGAAAACAAAACAAAACTCACTCTGCCTCAACAATTGGAGCATGCACGGCAGCCCCGCGACCATTTTGCATTGGCATTTTACAGGTTCGGCTGGGGCGCCAGCGGATCCCACCTGCTTTCTGGGCGCAGGTGGTCGACCGACTGGTTTGACACATCAGTGGCTGCTGCCTTTTCGCCTAATCGTTTCCAAGGGCTTTCGAAACCTCCCAATGGCTTCAAAATTGATACAGAAAGCTCAGAACCGAGCCCAAGAGGCTTCCAAACCGTACCCAAGAACGCCCCAAGTTGGCGCCAAGAGGGCGCCAAGACGCATCCCCCCCCCATCATCCCTGTCAACAAACGATACCAAACGCACTCGGCCTCCACATTTGGAGCATGCGCGACCGCACCCCGCGACCATATTACATAGGCATTTTACAGGGCGGCTGGGGTGCCAGCAGATCCCACCTGCCTCCTGGGCGCAGGTGGTCGACCGATTGGCTTGACACATCAATTGGTGCTGCCTTTTCGCCTAATCGTTTCTAAGGGCTTTCGAAACCTCCCAATGGCTCCAAACTTGATAAAGAAAGCTCGCTTCCAAACCGTTCCCAAGAACGCCCCAAGTTGGCGCTACAAGGGCGCCAAGAGGCGGCATTGAGGGCCCCAGAAGGGGAGGCCTCCAGGTGGATGGCCCAAGGACGCTCCAAGCCGGGCCCACGAGGCCTCCAAGACGGCCCCAAGAGCGCCCCAAGGTGGCCCAAAGAGGTCTCAAGAGGCCGTTTTGAAGGCCCCTGAAGGGGGGGCTAGCCCCAAATCTGCCGGCCCCCTTGTGGGGCCACCAGGCTGTAGGCGCGAGGTTCGCAGTTTCCTGTGTCAGTTGTAGCTTGTAATTTCCAGTGTTACAGTTCTGCTTCTTGCTGGTTACTGTAACTAGTTGATTGTTCTCCTCCTTGCTGGTTACTGTAACTAGTTGATTGACCGCGCGAGGGGGGGAGGCTCAAACCGGCTTTTTAGCGTCCCCTGGGCGCGTTGTCTGAATTGCTGGGGGGGCTCGAAATCGCAACCCCTCACGCAGATCCGCGGGGTCAGGGTCCAAAAACACAAGGGATTTGCCACATTTCTGAAATTCGGTGCCACCCCTCACGCAGATCCGCGGGGTCAGGGTCCAAAAACACAAGGGATTTGCCACATTTCTGAAATTCGGTGCCACCCCTCACGCAGATCCGCGGGGTCAGGGTCCAAAAACACAGGGGATTTGCCACATTTCTGAAATTCGGTGCCACCCCTCACGCAGATCCGCGGGGTCAGGGTCCAAAAACACAAGGGATTTGCCACATTTCTGAAATTCGGTGCCACCCCTCACGCAGATCCGCGGGGTCAGGGTCCAAAAACACAGGGATTTGCCACATTTCTGAAATTCGGTGCCACCCCTCACGCAGATCCGCGGGGTCAGGGTCCAAAAACATAGGGGATTTGCCACATTTCTGAAATTCGGTGCCACCCCTCACGCAGATCCGCGGGGTCAGGGTCCAAAAACACAAGGGATTTGCCACATTTCTGAAATTCGGTGCCACCCCTCACGCAGATCCGCGGGGTCAGGGTCCAAAAACACAAGGGATTTGCCACATTTCTGAAATTCGGCGCCACCCCTTACGCAGATCCGCGGGGTCAGGGTCCAAAAACACAAAGAATTTGCTACATTTCTGAAATTCGGTGCCACCCTTCACGCACATCCATCGCAAGGCGTGGTAACCCAAACTGCGAGAACTCCCTCGGCCCTTTAATCGCAAGGTGTGGTAACCAAGCCCGTAAACCATACACGTCTTACCAATCGCCAGGTGTGGTAACCCCTCTTGTGATCAGTTGGTTTTGCTGATTGCGAATCGGCTTCGCATGAAGTTTCGATACTGCTTCACGACAGCGCCAAGGCTTCATGACTTAGCTCTTCCATGGCCCATTCTCCGAGAGAGGGGGCCGGCGGCAGGGGGCGAAGCCCTTACGGATAGCGAGGGGCTGAACGACCCCCCCCTTGTGTTTGATCGGTTGCCCCCAAAATGGCTCTCAGAGGCTCTCCACGGCTCCCACAAGGGCCTCAAGAGTGACGGTCCGAGGACGACCGGAAACCCCGACCACGAGGCCGCAGCGTCGAAATCCGACGAAATTCTTACAAGCAAGCGGTTGTACGAATTTGCTCGCGTGAAACAAACGGGACCCCAGAACATGATCGACCCACGAACCCGGAAAGGAATATAGAAATGTAAGGCATTGCAACATTTCAAAGACACCTGATTGGGCGACGGGCACATGCAATGCTGAATGTATCGATGATGATGTACTGTGCCGACGGCCGTGCTGTGCTACGCCGTGCTGAACTGCGATGTGCCATGCCGCGATTGTGCTCTATATAGCGGTGTGGATCGAGTCCTCCCTGGCATCCGAGTCCTCACCGAACTGATCTGGAGCGTAAGCTCGAGCTGCCTGAGCAGATGGTAGCTGCCCCTGAACTAATCGACAGAGGGAACATGCCAGGAGGACGCACCGCGGAACGTCCCAAGGGACGCGCCAGGCGACGTGCCAAGGGACGTGCCATGGGCACGCACCGCGGGACGTGCCAAGGGGACGCGCTACGGAACGTGCCAATGGACGTGCACCGCGCGACGTGCCAGGGGGACGCGCCGCGCGACGTGCCAGGTGGACTTGCCACGGAACGCGCCAAGGAACGTGCCAAGGTCCATAGTTGAGTGTATCTATATTGATGTACCGTGCCGACGGCTGTGCTGTGCTGGGCCGTGCTGAACTGCGATGTGCCATGTCGCGATTGTGCTCTATATAGCGTTGTGGATCGAGTCCTCCCTGGCATCCGAGTCCTCACCGAACTGATCGGGATCGATCGTAAGCTCGAGCTGCCTGAGCAGATGGTAGCTGCCCCAGAACTAATCGACAGAGGGAACATGCCAAGAGGACGCGCCGCGGAACGTTCCAAGGGACGCGCCAGCCGACGTGCCAGGAGACGTGCCATGGGCACGTACCGCGGGACGTGCCAAGGGGACGCGCTACGGAACGTGACAATGGACGTGCACCGCGCGACGTGCCAGGGGGACTTGCCACGGGACGCTCCGCGGAACGTGCCAGGCAACATGCCAGGCTGCAATGCTAGGGGTATCGATATTGATGTACCGTGCCGAGGGCTGTGCTGTGCCGAGGCGACCTGGACACGTGAAAACACGCGTTTCGCTCAAGACGTTGTCAGCACAGCCTCATGCTAGACATCCGCCCGGGCAACCTGGACACGTGCAAACAAGCGTCTCGCTCGAGACATCCTCAACAAATGCTCATGCTAGACATCCGCCTGGGCGACCTGGACACGTGACAACAAGCCTCTGGTTCGAGACATCCTCAACAAATCCTCATGCTAGACATCTGTCTGGGCCACCTGGAGGCGTGGAACCAAGCGTCTCGCTCGAGACATCCTCAAGACATGGGCACGTGAAAACAAGCAATCCACTTGAGAAATCCTCAGAATTCAGGTCCCCAGGCGAGGACAATATATAACACAAAACAAGCGTTTCGCTCGAGACATCCTCAACACATTCTGAAACATGTTAGATACCCCCATGTCTGGCCTGGACACGTGAAAACACGTGGTTCCAGCGCGACACCACCGTGTCAAATACCCCCCCCTGGGTGGCCTGGACACGTAAAAACACGTGGTTCCAGCTCGGGACCACGTGCAAATTCACACTTTACCACGTAATTTATCGCAGAATAATTCCGCCGGCCCTACTCCCGCACGTAATTTATCGCAGAAGAATTTCGCCGGCCCTACAGCCGTCGAAACCGGGGGGAACCAACTAAAAGAGAACCCTGGGCTCGAGCCCTTTCTGGGAAAAACGGAATCTGGACTCCAGGGGCGCCAGCAAGGCCGGGTTTTCAACCGGCCTTGATGGCGCCCCTGGCACACGCTTGGGCCTCCAGGGTATGGTGCATCTGGAACCCGGGGCGTCTGCGGCGTTCTTACGCGATATGCTGACATCCAAGTGTTACTTGTGTGTTGGGAAGGCGGGTGGGAGTGTTCAAGACGGCTTGCGGGCCTCACAGATCGATCCGATCGATCCAGCTCGAAAAATGCCGCACAAAGATGGGGTCTAGGGTTCCGCTTGTGATTTTTGGCGATGTTGCAATGTTTTCGCAGCGTCGGATCTCAGGGGAGGTCGAACCCAGGCTGGACCAGGAAAGCACTTGGGCCAAAAAGCGATAAGGTTACAGAATTCAGCGCGTGAGCCAAACCCTCTCGAAGGATCCTTGAGCTTTTGTTTCTGGCGACCTTACTTCCTCAGACCACGGACTTCCTGCTTTGGACAGACAAGTATGTTCAGCAAGCTGCCACCCAGAGTCCCAATTGATGGTACAAGGCTCTTGGGCGCAACAATTGACCGACGCCAGAAGTCCTGGCCTCAGAAAAGTTGACGTGTCGCTTGCTTCCGCTGGCGGGGCCGCCGACATCTTACTTCCGCTGGTTTCCGCGAGCCTGCAGCCCACTTCCACCGAGGGTGAGCAGTGCCGACGGCGAGGCAGGAAGGCCGTTTCCTGAAAGCCCATCTGATGCGCGAAATCGGTTGGCGGAGGCCGAAACATGATGGACCCACGAACCCGGAAAGGGATATAGACATGTGGAGCATGGACACGTTTTCATGATACCCAACTGGGCAACACCTCACGAAACATCCCACGAGACACCTCACGAAACAGCCCACGAGGACCACCTCACGAAACATTCCACGAGACACTCACGAAAATTTACGAGAACAACGCCGCGAAACATTCCAGAGGGGACAGCGGACACCCCACGAAAACATTCCACGACGACTCGCAGGCCAACCAATCAAACCATTGGAGAGTGTGGTCTGTGCTGGGGAGTTGTTCGTGTGGGGTGTGGTCGTGCTGGGGGGTGGTCGTGCTGGGGGGTGGTCGTGCTGGGGGGGTGGAAGAGTCAGAGGAAGTAGTGCTGGGGCGTGTCGTTTGGGGCGTGTAGTGCTGGGGCGGGGTCGTGCTGAGGGCGGGTGTACGTGCTGGGGCGTGGTCGTGGGGGTGTGGTCGTGCTGTGGTAAGGTCGTGCTGGGTGCGGTCGGTGCTGGGGATAAGTGGTCTTGGACTGGGGTGGGGTCGTGCTGGGGTGGGGTCGTGCTGGGGAGTGGTCGTGCTGGGGTGTGGTCGTGCTGGGGTGTGGTCGTGCTGGGGGGTGGTCGTGCTGGGGGGGTGGTCGTGCTGGGGGGTGGTCGTGCTGGGGCGTGGTCATGCTGGGGCGTGGTCGTGCTGGGGCGTGGTAGTGCTGGGGTGTGGTCGTGCTGTGGTGAGGTCGTGCTGGGGTGTGGTCGTGCTGGGGTGTGGTCTTGCTGGGGTGGGGTCGTGCTAGGGTGGGGTCGTGCTGGGGTGTGGTCGTGCTGGGGTGTGGTCGTGCTGGGGTGGGGTCGTGCTGGGGTGTGTCGTGCTGGGGTGTGGTCGTTGCTGGGGAGTGGTCGTGGCTGGGGTCGTGGTAGTGCTGGGGTGTGGTCGCTCTGGGGAGGTGGTTCGTGATGGGGGGGTTGGTCGTGCTGGGGGGTGGGTCGTCGTGCTGGGGCGTGGTCGTGCTTGGGGAGTGGTCTGTTGCTGGGGCTGTGGTCGTGCTGGGGCGTGTTCGGTGATGTGTGTGAGGGTCGTGATGGTGGCGGTGTGGTGTGCTGGGAGGTGTGGTTTGCTGGGGTAGGGTCGTGCTGGGGTCGGGTCGTTGCTGGGGTGCGTGTTTTCTGTGCTGGGCTATGGTCGATGATGGGGGTGGGGTCGGTGCTGGGGTGGGGTCGTGCTGGGGTCTGGTCGTGCTGGGGTGTGGTCGTGCTGGGGTATGGTCGTGCTAGGGTGGGGTCGTGCATTTCGCTCGAGACATCCTGCCAAAATTCCAGGAAATCGTACAAAAACAAACGAATTAGTCGAGACATCATCGAAATTCCTTCGCGCGGGGCGCTTTTCCGCGTCGCGGTCGGCTCTGCAAAACAAGCGTTTCGCTCGAGACATCCTCGGCAAACTCTGCGGAGCAAGCGTTTCGCTCGAGACATCCTCAACACACGAAAAAGTGGCCCGCACCCTGTGATTTATCGATCGGGATTTCAAAAACAAGCGTTTCGCTCGAGACATCCTCAAATTTTAATTCGCCGGCCTCCTTCGACCTCGTTATTTATCAGGGAAAAAATTCGCCGGCCTCCTTCAAGTTGGCACCGGGGGACAGGTTTACCTACTAAAAGAGAACCCTGGGCTCATGCCCTTTCCGGGAAAAAGAAACGGGGCAAGGCAAGAGGGCTCCGAGAGAGCCCCAACAGGGCCCCAAGAGGGGTACATCGCTTTGACATGTCGAGCTTCCGCCCCAAACGGACCCCCAAGACCGCCAGCAGTTGCCCAAGAAGGCCCCAAGCGGTCCCCAAGATGACCAAAAGAAGCCTTCGACTGGTCCCCCAGAAGGCCTCAACAATCACAGCAGTCCCAAAAGGGCTCACCCGTGGACGTCGTCTTTCCTCTGAGGGTCGTCGAAACGGCTAAAACCTCCTGCGTAAGGGCATCGGACAAGGATGCAAGGAGCAGTTCACCCTGAGGCCCTAGGGACCGCCAGGAGTTGGTTGCCCTCTAGCAGGACGGTCCTGAGACCCGTGGAGGGCCCGGGGAGCTCGCAGAGAGAGAGAGAGAGAGAGGAAACCTCCAGGACCCGTTTCCCTCAGGGTCCCTCCTCCTCCTCCTCCTCCTACCCCTCCTTCTCCCTCCTCCTCCTCCTCCTCCTCCTCCTCCTCCTCCTCCTCCTCCTCCTCCTCCTCCTCCCCCTCCTCCAGGACCCGTTTCCCTCGGGACCCCTCCTCTCCGTGCCAATCCTCCCCCCTCTTCGGGGAGGGCGCGAGGGGGGGGGGGCGGGGCCTTCGAGTCTGGGGACTGGGTGATCGACCGCAAGTAGTTCATGGTCGCCGCGGAGTGCCAGTAGCCCTGCAGGAGCCGCTCCGGGTCCCACCTCGCAGAGGAGGAGGAGGAGGAGGAGGAGGAGGGGGAGGAGGAGGAGGAGGAGCAGGAGGAGGAGGAGGAGGGGGAACAGGAGGAGGAACTGGCAAAGGAGGAGGAGGTGGAGGAGGACCAGGGTAAACCAAACATGCATCAGCGATGCTGCAACACCCCGCCCGTCCCAAGTCCCCTCCGCACCCGCCCCTATACCCTGTTATTTTCACTACACACTACAAGGAGCGCCCTTCCCCCCCCCTGACAGGCCAGCATACTCAGGCCTGCCATTGTGGCGAGGGCCACGCTTTGAAAAGGAGTTGCCTGGCATACCTATACGACCACCCTGCGGGTGAGAAGGAGGTGAGGGGGGAGGGGGAACCAACGTCTCACTCAATCGATCTCGCTATCGATCTCACATTCGATCTCATTATCGATATCACTATCGATCTCGCTATCGATCTCACTATCGATCTCACAATCGATCTCACAATCGATCTCACATTCGGTCTCACATTCGGTCTCACTGTCGATCTCACAATCGATCTCACAATCGATCTCACAGTCGATCTCACAATCGATCTCACATTCGGTCTCACATTCGTTCTCACTGTCGATCTCACAATCGATCTCACAATCGATCTCACAGTCGATCTCACATTCGGTCTCACATTCGGTCTCACTATCGATCTCACTATCGATCTCGCTATCGATCTCACTATCGATCTCACATTCGATTTCGCAATCGATCTCACAATCTCACAATCGATCTCATTATCGATCTCACAGTCGATCTCACTATCGATATCACAATCAAACTCCCAATCGATCTCACAATCGACGCCATCATCATCATCATCACCATCATCATCATCATCATCATCATCATCATCATCATCGTCATCATCATCACCATCATCACCATCATCACCATCATTACCATCATCACCATCATCACCATCATCATCTCACAATCGATCTGACTATCGATCTCACAATCGATCTCACTATCGATCTCACAATCGATCTCACATTCGGTCTCACTATCGATGTCACAATCGATATCACAATCGACGTCATCATCATCATCAACAACAACACCAGCATCATCATCATCATCATCATCATCATCATCATCGCCATCATCACCATCATCATCATCATCACCATCATCATAATCATCCACATCATCATCGGGACACCGACGGGACAACCGACCAGACACCAAGCGCGGACACCGGCGGGACACCGGCGCGCCACCGGCCCGCCCGGAAGGACACATTTGGTTTCCGGCCGCGCCTCAGCCACAGGGACACCGACGGGACACCAGCGGGACACCGGCGGGACACCACGCGCCACCGGCCGCCCGGAAGAGAAACATTTTGTCCGGCCGCGCCTCAGCCACAGGAGACTTTCCTCTCGCCCGCCCACGCAGCTTCGCCTCGCCCGCACGGCACGCACGAACACGAAACCGAAATCGATTTCCCGGTAGGGGGGCTCTCCGTTCCACTTCGATCTCACCCCCTCACCTCCGACTTCTGGCGCGTGATCAGGAAAGCGGGAGACTACAATCATACGGCTCAGCGAGTTGTCCAGCACGATCCCCATCTCGACGGAGGGCCGCCCCCCCATCCGTGCAACTGCTTGCCCGGCGTTCCCCTGTGGCCGTCACCTTCGCGGAGAGCTTTAGCTGCAACTCCTTCCTTCTTGGAACAAGTGCCGCCATGGACCAGTGCAGCGCTACGCGCGTTGAAGTCCTGGGATCTCTTGAGCTCATGAAAAACTTACGCCAGAGCTCCATTTGTTGCGTTGCGCCGGGGCGAGGAGAAGAAGAGGGGGAGGGAAAATGGGGGAGACGTAGAAGGAAGAGGTCCCACTTGCGGTCGCTCGTCTCGAAGCCGTTGATGTTGTCCCCCTTGAAGGACATGATCTCTTTGCCGTCCACGACCTCAGCATCTTCCAGGAGGGCGGAGGGGAATGACCGCACATCCCACGGGTGGGGAGGAGGAGGAGGAGGAGGAGGAGGAGGAGGAGGAGGAGGAGGAGGAGGCGAGCGTAAGGAGGTCCGCTGTCCCTGCCTACCGCTCAGGGCTCAGGGCTCAGGAATGCCATTATCATCTTCCTCCGCGTTCCGCTCTTCTTCAAGCCAGGAGGAGGAGGAGGAGGAGGAGGAGGAGGAGGAGGAGGAGGAGGAGGAGGAGACCCAAGGAGGGACGATGCGGCAAGGCAGGAGAGGGGAGGAGGCAGGAGGACAAGAAGGGGCGAGGGACGACGACGACGTCGACCGCTGGACCTCTCGCTGGGGCTGGCGGCGGCAAACAGGCCCTTACGACGGGGTGGGGGGGAGAGGAGGAGGGGGAGGAGGAGGAGGAAAAGGAGGAGGAGGAGGAGGAGGAGGAGGAGCAGGAGGAGGAGGAGGAGGAGGAGGAAGAGGAGGAGGAGGAGGAAAAGGAGGAGCAGGAGGAGCAGGGGGAGGAGCAGGAGGAAGCGGAGGAGGGTTCCGCGAGGCGGAGGAGGACGCCTTATACTCCTCTCACGCTCCTGTTCCATCTCTTCCTCTTCCTCCTCCGGGCCAGGGGCGACGAGGTGCTGTGGATCGCGCTGGCTGGAGATGACGCGGCGTGGCGCAGTCTGAACATCCTGTGGGCCAGTGCGAAGACGGACCAAGCCAAGTGGGAGTCGGCCGAGCTGAACTCGGGTCGGGCGAAAGGGGGGGATAGCAAAGGGGGGGGGTGAGAATCAGCTCACGTAGCTGATTTTCCCGGCGCCTCCCGGCGCCAGAGGCGGCAATGTATCGAGGAATGGGCCCCTCGGTGGGGCCGAAACCAGCTGCATGCAGCAAATTTCGTAACCCCCCTTTTCCCAATCCCCCCCTTTCGTCCGGCCCGATGAACACGAGCAGACACGAGCAGCGGCTCAGGAAGGCGCCCGAGGCAACTCGAGGACTACAGGTCTTCCGAGTGGCCAAGTCTGTCCCGTTCGGGCCCGCCACGGCTCCCCCACGCAGCCGCGTGAGGGACGGTCTCTAGAGGGAGAGAAAAGAGGAGGAGGAGGGGGAGGAGGAGGAGGAGGAGGAGGAGGAGGAGGAGGAGGAGGCGGAGAGCGGAGAGGAGGAGGAGGAGGAGGAGGAGGAGGAGGAGGAGGAGGAGGAGGAGGTGGAGGAGGAGGAGGAGGAGGAGGTAGGAGGAGGAGGAGGAGGAGGGAGGAGGAGGAGGGGGGGGGAAAGTGAGGAGGAGGGGAGGAGGAGGGAGGAGGGAGGAGGAGGAGGAGGAGGGGGCGGAGGAGGAGGAGGAGGAGAAGAAGCAGTGGCATGAACATACATTGTCGACGGTCCGCGCGGAATTCTTGGACTGCGCCGGACCCCCCTTCCCTGGCGCGCGGAGCGCGCCGGGTGCGGCGCCGGAGGCGCCGCCGGGTGGGCCCAGCGCATATTCAAGAAACCCCCCCGCGGGTCGTCGAAAGCTTAGCATATTCAAGAAACCCCCCGCGGGTCGTCGAAAGCTTACGTTCACGAAGCTCACTCTTCCTCGAACCTCCCTCGGCCAGGCTCCCATGGTGCAGGGCCTCCTGGCAGACCAGGAATCCCTCCTGAAAGACCGCCTGTGAAATCCACAGGGACTCCTGGGAGGCGCCTGTCCAACCCTATCATATCGTATAGCCATCTTGTAAATTTCTGGAGCAGTACACCCTGCGAAATGCTTTAGAAATCATGGGTTAAGAAACTCAGAGTCTCAGAATTTGAATAGAAACCCAGAATTTCTATTGAAATCTTCGGATTTGCATCGAAAAATCAAGAATAATCGAGACTCTGGCCGAAAACTTAAGTTTTCTTAAGCATCGCCTAAGGTGTATGGCCAAAAAACGCTCGCCACAAAGCATGTGCTGTAAGACTTCCCGGCGCGCACGCGTCGCCCCCGGGGGGTGCGGCGCACACATGGCCGACCCTGGAAACCCTCGAGCCCAAAAACGTTGTCACCTCTTCGGGGGCGCCTTGCTGACTTCCGCCGCCCTCTGCCGGCTTCCCCCAGGGGAGCCGCCCCCGTTTGATTGCTGCCGCTCTCCGCCGACTTTCCGCCGCCATCCGCGAAGGAAGAGATGGCAACTCCTTCGAATTCTGGAACGACTCACATCACAGTGGAGGCCAGTCCACAAGAAAGCCAACCCTGAGACCCCAGGACGTCCATGGCTTTTCGGCGCGGGAACGTCACGCTCTCCATGGCAAGACCACCGAAACCCAGGAGATCCAGGGCACCCTGGAGGCAAGCAGGGTGTTTCTTGGCAAGGGCCTCTCCACTGTAGTACAGGCCTCGGAACAAATTAGCGAACACTCATGCCACATTCATCTGTCAACGTCTCCCCCTCCCCCAACGTTCGGAACAAATTAGCGAACACTCATGCCACATTCATCTGCCAACGCCTCCCCCTCCCCCCAATGTTCAAAGTGCGCGGCGGGTCTGATGAGATGCGCCTCGACCGCAGTCCCCCCCGCGCGTGCCAGCGTTGAGTTTGGGGGGCAGGTTGAGTTTGAGTTTGAGGGGGAGTGTTCAGTAACTGTTTCCCTCTACCGTATCTCTGTCTGTTTTTTCCTCGGCCTCCTCGGCCTTCCCGCCTTTCCTGGCCTTCCTTCCTGTCCTCCTGCTCCTCCTGCGGTTTGGGTCTCTGCGCTGGTCCATTGGCACGGTGGCCGCCTGTCCACCAGATCCGAGCAGTTGCCGCTGAACTGCTTCAGAGCGGTACGAGGTCGTGTCCGTACGCACTGCCAGAGGGTGACAGCGGCTCTCTACCGCATCAGCGTTGGTTTTTGACACCGCAGGGATCGTTCAACCTTGAACGATCGGCCGCTGCCGCAACGTCCGATCGTTCAACATCGATCGATTCTGGGTCGCCGGCGGCGTTCAACCTTGAACGCCCGCGCTGGGGTCGCCGCTGGTCGACACGACGCAAACCTACCTTATCTCTGTGTGTTGGGGCGGCGCCGACCGTCCGCCCTGCGGGAGCCCCGCGATGCCCCAGCTCCCCAGCGACGGGCAGCCTGCCCGACGGGCCCATCGGCGCGAGGCATCGGCGCCCCTCGGGGCACGCGCGGGGGGGGACAAGTGAAGGGGCCCCGGGGCGCACAAATCAATACACACAAATAAAAAGGTTCCCCACATTTTCCCACATTTTCCAAATATTTTCCCATATTTCCCCTGGGGCCCTGGGAAAAGGTTCCCCACATGTTCCCATATTTCCTGGGTTTGCGTCTCCCCCCCCACTTCCCACATTTTCCCACATCTTCCCGGGAGTGTGTGTGTGTGTGCGTGTGTATGTGTGTGTGCGTGTGTGTGTGTGTTGGTGGGTGTGTGTCGTGTGTTGGTAGTGTGTGTGTGTGTGGTGTGGGGGTTGTCGTGTGTGTGTGGTGTGTGTTTTGTGTGTGCGTGGCGTGGAGGCGTGTGTGTGTGTGTGTGGTGTGTTTGTGTGTGTGGTGTGTATGTGTGTGTTTTCAAATTGTGTGCGTGCGGCGTGCGTGCGTGCGTGCGTGCGTGCGTGCGTGCGTGCGTGCGTGCGTGCGTGCGTGCGTGCGTGCGTGCGTGCGTGCGTGCGTGCGTGTGTGTGTGTGTGTGTGTGTGTGAGTGAGCGTGTGTGTGTGTGTGTGTGCGAGCGTGTGTGTATGTGTGTGTGTGTTCCCCTCCTGAACAAGAGCACAGTCAAGCTGCTGCAGTAGGCTGCACAGCCCCCCTTCCTGGGCGCACGAGGAGGGCCGGAGAAGCTGCCACAGGATGCTGCAATCCGGAGCGCGAGATAAGGAGTACAGTCGGGGCGATGACCTAAGGAACCCTAAATAAGGAACGGGGCCCCTCTCTGCAATACGTTGAACTTCGATTTCCCATGGAAAACCTCCGGAAAACAGAGGGCAAACTGCAGAACAATTCAGGAACACCGAGCCCCTCCCCAACGAAAAGGGTTCCTTCTTCAGGGCCCCGACTGTAAGCCCCGGCCGGGGCACCCGAGGAGCCAGGGGGCACGAGGAGGGCTGGAGAAACAGTCACGGAACGACCTGGGGACCAGCGAGCCTTTGGTCGGGCATGCCCTCCCAGACAGGCGGATCTGGGAGGAACAATTCGAAATCGTTTCACAAACATTCAGAGGTAGTCAGAAGATCCGCACACAGTCGTCCCCAGACTATTCCTGGACTATGTTTGAGCAGTCCTCCTGTAGAGGGAGAGGCCCGACTTCCAGCGAGTCCCTTCCGAACCCAAAGCGGCTCTTTTTGTTCAGCGTTTTGGCGGACCCGCCGATGCTTTTGCAGCTGCTCCCCAGGCCGCTCTCGGGGCGCGCTCTGCCCAAGAGTTCGAGAAGAATCCGGCTGCGGCGACGATTGGGCGTGAATTACTGGGGGCGGTGAATGGGAGGGATGATGATGATGATGATGATGATGATGATGATGATGATGATGATGATGATGATGATGATGATGATGATGATAATGCTGGTGACGATGCTGCTGATGATGACGACGATGATGATGGTGATGACGATGCTGATGACGATGATGATGACGATGATGATGACGATGATGATGACGATGATGTGTTGATGGTTATGATGGTGTTGGTGATGGTGCTGATGGTGATGATGATGATGATGATGCTGATGACGATGATGATGGTGATGATGCTGATGGTGAGAATGATGTGATATTGATGATGATGATGATGATGATGATGATGATGATGATGATGATGATGATGATGATGCGGATCCTCATCATCACAATTACCATCAATATCATAACTCTCATTACCATCATCATCATCATCATCATCAGCATCAGCATCATCATCATCATCATCATCATCATCATCATCATCATCATCAACATCATCATCAGGGGGAACAACGACGTGCACGCCTCGCGCCCCTCTTGGGACCCGCGGGGCCCCTTCAGGGCCCCATTTAGGGCACAGC